CAACTTCCCTGGAGCAAATACCTGACTTACCAGGAACAAATACCAAACTTCCGAGGAACAAATACCCAACTTTCCAGAAACAAATACTCAACTTCCCTGGAGCAAATACCTGACTTACCAGGAACAAATACCAAACTTCCGAGGAACAAATACCCAACTTTCCAGAAACAAATACTCAACTTCCCTGGAGCAAATATATGACTTCACAGGTACATATGCCAGACTTCCCAGGAACAAATATAAGACTCTCCAGGAACAAATGCCAGTCTTTCCAGAAACAAATACCCAACTTTCAAGAAACTAATACCTAACTTCAAAGATACAAATACCCAACTCCCCAGGAACAAATACCCAACTCCCCACGATCAAATACCCAACGAAAGCCAGACTTTCCAGGAACAAATACCTGACTTACCAGGAACAAATACCAAACTTCCGAGGAACAAATACACGTCTCCCCACTAACAAATACCCAACTTCCTAGGAACAAATACTTCCAACTCCCTAGAGAACCTTCCTAGAAACAAATACCCAACTCCCTAGAAACAAATACCCAACTTCCCTGGAGCAAATACATGACTTCAAAGGAACAAAAGCCATACCCAACTCCCTAGGAACAAATACCCAACTCCCTAGGAACAAATACCCAACTCCCTAGAAACAAATACCCAACTCCCTAGGAACAAATACCCAACTCCCTTCAAAGGAACAAAAATACCCAACTCCTGACTTAGAAACAAATACCCAACTCCCTAGAAACAAATACCCAACTTCCCAGAAACAAATACCCGACTTTCCATCTCTTCTTTGTACCTTGTCATGTTTGAAAATTAAATTTTTTTGTATTATGTTATTAATGGAATGATATTACTTCAGGAAATATTATATTCATCAAATGTTGTTCAACCTGCTTAGAGTTGATCAGTCGACATTGATCTATTTTTCTGGTGACAACTGTTAATTACATTGCTAAAACATTGTACTTGCTAGGTATTTCAAATTATTTCAAGATATAACTTCCTATGGTGTTATACATTGTTATTATTATTATTATTATTATTATTATGACATTCTTAACAGCCTGTCAACACATAAAAGGTCATTAGGACCATCAACCAGTATACATGGATTGAATCTTGATTTGTTATATTTTAAAGTACACAAACATGATCCTATCATAGAAGCTTTAATAAAGATATACAATACATATAATAGCTATGGAATTTTTTTATTTTGTCTCTTTTTCCTTCAAAAGAGGTTTGAAATATTTTATTATCAAGGTGTTGACAGAGATATGTCTAGATAATGGTAGGCATGGTGGAAATACAAAAGATAAAAGGAATGTTTTTTATGATAGGTTGACCATAGGATGATTCAGCAGTATTTAGCAGATACTGTTCATTTGATACCACTGAAAGATAAGCTACATGAAATATGGGACAGAACGTGTCTTGCAGTATAAGTAGTTCTTTACTTGTTTATTGAAATACTACATATCATATTTGATATTGATATCAATTTCCAAATGTGAGTTTATATTACTAGTGTAGTGGTTTTGTTAACTTATTAATTAAAGACATGTAAGTAGTTGCATTGCATTGATTAAGGGTTTTGCCATGAGGATCATTCATTAAAGATGAAGGAAATTACTAAGAAACTCGGAGCAATGACGGATGTAGTTCCTACATTGTCAGTATCTTTCCCCGAAAGGACAGAAACTGAACAACTAAAAATTACATATGATGAACTAAACGAGACCAAGGAAAAGTCATGTGATGAACCAAATAGATGTGAGAAATGGACAACAGGTAAAGTTATATTTTTTATCAAGCTTCATTTGTAGGGGTGGATGAAGAGTCTACCTTGTGTATTCATTGTCATTGTTCCTGGAGATTTACAGAGTCTCATCAGCTTCAAAATGTTTCAGACAAAAATTAAACATTGAATTGCTTCCTCCATTTCTAGCTAATTCATTACTTTGTTTTTCATAAAAAATAATGTTATCTCTCTATGCGGTACCTAGAAGGAGTGTACAAAAGAAACTTATGATAACAGTACATTGCAATACTGATTTAGAATTAGATGAATCCACATTATGAATCAATAGATCTGTTTTCCTTAAGGACTGGGAATTTACGTTTGATATCGTGGAGACCTTGTAGATTTTATTAACCACTCACCATCTAATTTCAAGCTTCGGGTAAATTTACTAGCTTTGACTTCACAGAAACACTTTGCAGTATCTGGCTTGGTTCAATCCCTTGTTTTGATAATTATACCATATTTTCATCGATGATAAATTCATTGCTTTTTTTAACAAATTAACAACAAACAGCACCATCTTTGTAAATCATTACTGTTTATTAGCCTTTGATGGCTCATATGTGTTAGCAATAATCAGTATGCTTGTTTAATGAAGCTATGAAATCATTGTGTCGATACAAGGACATACGTAGACAAGTTTTTTCTCTCTTCTTTATGTATCTTTCTTCCTTTAACACTTGATATTGCTGGAATTTAAATTTTGAAATCCCAGCAAAACGCAAAAAAGTGATGTCATGAAATTTGATTGCAGATTCAATAGATGCAGAAAGTGCATGGGATGGAGGTTGTCAAGAAATGGGTGGTTTGTTAGCAAGTAAATCAGAATGGATTGTAAATGATGAAGAAGAGCTGCAGATAGAAGCTGAGAATTTTTTCAGACCTGAACGATGTACCTACTTTAATAAAGTAATGAAGCGTTTGGAAACTTTTCTACCTGTTTGTTCTGGTATTGACTGCGATTCATTAGCAGATGCTGGTTTCTATTATACGGGTAAGTAATGTGTTTTATTTCTGAAGTTGCTATTTTGATATGTCATAACAAACATTTATCAAAATGCACAAGTGATATGATAAGCATTGATTTGTGACATATGTTCAGTGTTATATTTTGAATATTTTGAGGTGTTACTTCGTATTTAGTGTACTTTAACATCAGTAATACCCAACATTGTATCAGTGATACTACATACATTATGTCTGAGAACTGTGACCTTAGAGAGTCGTCATGTCTGGATAATATCACGTACTACGTCACTTATCGTCAGCCATAATACTTAATATGGCATCATATTCTGTTTAGAGTTATGCCTCGCTTACAACTTTTCACTCTGCTTGGATCTGTTGGAGTGATGATTAATTTTGTGTGGTGTTTAATGCAATATCATTCTTATACAGAATTAAAAATATTAATGTTGAATATATAATAAGATAAATACTTGGATGCAATATTTTTTATCTGTTTTAGGGGAGAATATTAGATGCTTTACCTGTGGTGTCGTAATCGTTTTTGGGCCGTGTACTGATGATTACTGGGTAGAACATGCTAAAACGAGCCCAGGTTGTTCTTATGTCAGAACACAAAAAGGTGCAGCCTATATCCATAACTTGCTATCCACAGAGGTAAATGTTAAAGCTTACAGTACCCTTTATATTACTGATTATCTTTGGTATTGTATTGTATGCATAATGATATAAGTGAAGAAAAAAACAACAGAAATGAACATTGCTGTTCGTTTCTTACTTTAACTATAAAAAGATTCAGCATTGTTTAATTATTTGATAATTATTCCTGCTACATTGACAACATTACATTATATATAGGTAATAACAACCAAGTGATCATTATATATAGGTAATAACAACCAGGTGATCATTATATATAGGTAATAACAACCAAGTGATCATTATATATAGGTAATAACAACCAGGTGATCATTATATATAGGTATCATTATATATAACAACCAGGTGATCATTATATATAGGTAATAACAACCAGGTGATCATTATATATAGGTAATAACAACCAGGTGATCATTATATATAGGTAATAACAACCAGGTGATCATTATATATAGGTAATAACAACCAGGTGATCATTATATATAGGTAATGATCATTATATATTACAACCAGGTGATCATTATCCTGCTACATTGACAACATTACATATATATAGGTAATAACAAACAGGTGATCATTATATATAGTTAATAACAACCAGGTGATCATTATATATAGGTAATAACAACCAGGTGATCATTATATATAGGTAATAACAACCAGGTGATCATTATATATAGGTAATAACAACCAGGTAATCATTATTCCTGCTACATTGACAACATTGCATTATATATAGGTAATAACAACCAGGTGATCATTATATATAGGTAATAACAACCAGGTGATCATTATATATAGGTAATAACAACTAGGTGATCATTATATATAGGTAATAACAACCAGGTAATCATTATTCCTGCTACATTGACAACATTACATTATATATAGGTAATAACAACCAGGTGATCATTATATATAGGTAATAACAACCAGGTGATCATTATATTAGGTAATAACAACCAGGTGATCATTATATATAGGTAATAACAACCAGGTGATCATTATATATAGGTAATAACAACCAGGTGATCATTATATATAGGTAATAACAACCAGGTGATCATTATATATAGGTAATAACAACCAGGTGATCATTATATATAGGTAATAACAACCAGGTGATCATTATATATAGGTAATAACAACCAGGTGATCATTATATATAGGTAATAACAACCAGGTGATCATTATATATAGGTAATAACAACCAGGTGATCATTATATATAGGTAATAACAACCAGGTGATCATTATATATAGGTAATCATTATATATAGGTAATAACAACCAGGTGATCATTATATATAGGTAATAACAACCAGGTGATCATTATATATAGGTAATAACAACCAGGTGATCATTATATATAGGTAATAACAACCAGGTGATCATTATATATAGGTAATAACAACCAGGTGATCATTATATATAGGTAATAACAACCAGGTGATCATTCAGGTCTTTGAACTTTGTGTTTCATGGTTGTTCATCTGTTATTTTGAGATTGACTGGAAAAATAAAAATAGACAAATTCTCTTTTTTATCTTTTGAGATGGATTTTGTATGTTTTAGACTGCATGTAATCACATTGTGGTCATGGAGTTAGTGCACCTCCCCATCTCGATTTCTGAGTGGCTCCTTTGGTTTTCAAATTTAGACACACAGCATCACTGATTAGTCCTAGAAGGACGAAACAGCTGTATGATGCAATTTAATTCATTATTTGACTCCACTATATTTAATTTGTATTGAAAGGTGTCCTTCAACTTTTGTTATGCTTATATATTGTAATCAAAATTAATGTGCATGATATTTGATGTTTAGCAAGTCTTGGTAATAATTTAATTTTGATAAATATCAGATAACATGCACAGTGATTTAGATTAGTTTGAAATAGTTAGAGATTTGCTACAGGTAAATTCTGAAAGTCACCCGGACGACGTGAAAGGAAAAAGAGCTTTATTGTTTGAAACGTACTTGGATCCTGATGGCTCACGATTTTATGATACAGGTAAAGTATAGCTGTGTAATTATGTCTCCATGCAATAAAAACGTTTCCACAATTATACGTTTCTGTGACGCAACATATCTTGTGTGGGCTTACCTGTATCAGTATACAATTCTTACGTTTACAGTGCATTCGCTCATTAGTAATATGAAAATCCAGATAAATTAACAATGAACAATTATTTGAAACAAAAGAAATTTGCATTTTGTGTAAAGACTGTCCAATAGTTGTGCAAGAACTGGAACAGTGAGCTTCAATAGTGGTAGTCTCTTAAATTTATAGACACATACTTCCAATTAAATATCAGAATAAGGGTTTCTGTGTCAATTTACTGCCAAAGATATATATAGGTATAAATCCTTTGTTCTATTGATATGCTGTTTATGTTTTTTAAAGGTCTGTCCTTCTGTAATTCCTGACAGCGAATCAAGCTTGAGTTCGATATACAGGTGGAATTTGTGAGAAACGCCTGTTATCTTACATGATAACCTAAACCATTTCATTTCAGGAACTGCTCAGAGTGCAAGAATTAATACTGTACTGAGAGGATTGTTTGGATGTTTGGAGCTATTTCCTGATCAAAAATTTCAAAAGGAAAAGCAACGACCAAGTGTGATAGTTGGTGCAAAATATCTTCTGAAAGGTATAAATGATGCCAGAGTCCAAGAATTGAGATATTTGCTCAGCAAAGAAATAAGGAGTAAATCAACTGAAGTGTTCGAATTCATTCGATTGTTAGGTGAACAGCCAAGAAATAGAGGCGAAGTGCATGTATTTATTGTACAAAATGTGATGTCACGATTATCTAGCTACAGAGTTTGGCCCCATCGTAACATCCGTACAGGTCCTCTGGTAGAGGCGGGATTTTCCTGTAAAGAACCTCAAACTTGTTTAGTTAAGTGCATGTCATGTGGACTTGAACTGAATGCATCAACTTTAAATGATACAACTCCACTTGATTACCACAGGACACAGTCACCAGATTGTGAATTTTTCAATGAAAGAAACTCGCCAGCATCAGATGGCCACCAAATCAGGACTTCAAATGATTTATCAACGGCCCAAGTTCTATCAAGCGTCGATAACCATCAAAGAGCAATGGAATATGCTGCTCAGACAGAACCACAGATCAACCTGCAGAGTATTGATTCTCAAGGTCAGTCTCGGTCAGGAAATAAGCAAGAAGAAAACGATACACCACCACAAATGCCTACAGTTCCTAATGATGGGAATATCCATGTCGATGAAGCGACTTTACTCAATGATGGTAGACAACTGCAAACAGAAAATTCATTTTCCTTATTTTCAAACAGCGGAGCAGGTGTATCTGAACCACTTATTGCAGAGCGCCCTAGAACTGGACAAGGCTTTGATAGAACTTCTCTACCTGCACCTGACAATAATGTTACTTCAAGAGGGGAAGCTGTGACAGAGAATGAAAATGTCATATTGGGTGCTGAGGGCAATGATAATTCCTTCCCAATACGTAACCCACGCTATACAGAAGAGAATGCTCGTCGTGAAACATTCACACACTGGCCTCATCGCTCGTCACACGACATCGATCGTCTAGTAAACTGTGGCTTCTTTTATACAGGTAAGTAGAAAGAATATTTTGTTATGTTAAAGGGATTTTCAGAACAAGTCAGTGTTTCTTTGATTCTGTTTTAGTGAAAACATGTGACTTATTAGAGTCATTTTCTATTATGTAGTTTTGCGATTCTGTATAAATTTCCGTATCTATTTGTACTATATTTAGATTTTCAAGTTTTCTTACAGTGTTTCTGCTGCTTGTTTCTAGTTTTGTGTTCAAAATCATCCAAATATAGAGATGCTATATTTACATGGTCTAGTTGTGAGTTGACGAAGGTTTGTTTGTCAGAACAAAAAGATATCTTGATGCTGACAATACTTTAAAAAGTTATTCAGATTTGCTCTTAAAAGCTACACAACATTCAGAAATTTGCGACATGTCTGGAATGTTCCTTCACCAACATTCAGTTTTGATCACCTACCATCATCAGATGATGGGTTATTCAAATTGCCATAAGTCCGTGGTCTGTGGTCCATCCGTCCATCCATCTGTCCAAGGAATTTTTCCGGCTTATAACTTCCAAACCATTCAACTCACCTTCACAAAACTTGCTGTATATATTAAGTTAATAACCTACTTGTGCCTTTTGCTATTGATATTTCATTTTTTCTGTTACCATGGAAACATATCCAAAAAGCTACAAATTTTGTAACCTTTCCACTCAACTCCAAAAATTTTTCTGTATATTTTATGTTAGTGCCCTAGTTAACTGATTTTACTGTTACCATGGAAACAGATAACCCTGATCACAAATTTCAGTTTTTCTGAACCAGTGCTCTGAAATTGTTCAAGATAATTTCTCAAAACCTTTTACACTTTTAAAGCTAGTAGTATGTTTTTCTCCAGTTGAATACTTTTTCTTTTACCATGTAAACAGATAGACCGGATCACAAAGTTCAGTTTTTTCAGACTAGTTCTCTTAGAGCATTCAAGGTACTCAAAACTTTGTACAGCATCATTTAAGTACTCTTGTAGAAGGTCTCCATTTCAATACTTTGTATGGAACAATAACAAATAGAAATTAAACTTGTTAAAATATTAACATATATGATTGTGTGTTTTTCCATGAAACAGTAGGGCACGGCAGATAATGTCATGTTTTACGTTATTTTGTTGTAGAAATATATTATATAAAACTGGCCTTTCAGGTTTTGGTTGTTAGTTCTGAATTAAAGTCTTTTCCGTAATGGGAAAACTGTTGAATGATCATTTGAATTTTTTTTAATTTGGTTGTTTATAAAATCTATATAAATGTCTAATAAACATCTGAAAGAAATTCCATAAAATACAGGTGCTGGTGAGGAAACTGTCAACCTCTAATGGTGACTAGTTAATCAATTTCATTAAAGAATTATTGCTATAGCTTAAACATGTCTGAAAATTGGGATGGGCTGTCTGCCTATCATTTGCCTTCAAAGTTACTGTTCTTGGCTTTATTGTGTGTATAACAAAGAAAACTAAATAAGATTCCTTTATATAGCTGTTCCATCCTTCTGTGACTCATTAATGGTGCTTTGTACAATTGATTAGCTTCACCATGTCAGTGGGGTACATTACTGTACGTAGAAATATTGTGTTCGAAGTGATACTGGCAAAGAAGAAGGGTACGGATGGAGGATGTGAAGGGGAATTGTGATGACTTTAATGACTTGTTTTAATCCGAATGTCCCAGTCGTGAAATGTTGGTCGAACCTCGCTACACAATGTCTTATCACCACACTGAAGTCGTTTAGAGGATGGCTTCTGTCCAAGTCCAGCAACCTAGAGATATATTTCATAATGTTATTTGCCTGGCCCATGTACAATATATGTAGCATTATGTTCTTTAAAGGTCTAGTACACAGATAGAATAATATGCATGCAATGGCCCTGTCTTTGGCATTTCATTGTCTTGAGCGAAAGGTTTAAAACATCAAGTTGTATTTTAATAATGATTTCCTTAGGTCCTGAGCATTACCGTCTTATTGATATTTGTACTTTTAGCTTTACTTTTAATTAGCCCACCGTCATAAGATCAAGCCACAGTTAGACTGTGGTTCCTCCTTCGTCTTCCTGTCTGTCCTTAAGGGACACTGATAGACTAGTTTCACAGATTTTACTTAACAGTAAGGTTGTGATACATTTTGCTCAATAACAATAATCCTTGTAAGACATAATCCAAGTGTTCACTTTTGAAGTTTAAACTACATGTAAAATCTTTAACAAATCACAAATGTTTACCTTGCAATTTGAAGATGACCTAAATTTGATTCTTTTAAGATATAATATATGAGAGAAAAATGACTGATGCCTTTACTCTTTCTAGGAGCCGAGGATATCGTCCGTTGCTTTTATTGTGATATTGGACTTGCCGAATGGAATCCTGATGATGACCCTTGGGTGGAACACGCACGTCATAGTCCGGAGTGCCCATATCTCAGGGCGATAAAAGGTCAAGATTACATCAACAACATTCAGACACAATGGGCACGAGTAAGTATAATGCCATATAAATAACAAAACATTCAAATATCAGCATGGATGAGATGGCAACTTCAATTCTGACTGTCTAATACCAAAAGGAATTTTTAAAAAAATGGAAATCTGACTGTTTTCTGTTGTAGATTTACACGCCAAAACATCCCCAGCATTCACAAGTTGACACAAGACGAAGGACATTTAATAACGAGGCTTGGCCAAGGGACAATGTTTTACAGACACCTGATCAGCTCGCAGCAGCTGGATTCTTTTACACAGGTATGTTAATTATAGAAAGGTCTGAATGATTTTTGGAAGGTTATTGTTGAAAGGAGGTTTAGAAGACACAGAAGCAAATAATTGCTTTCAATATAGTGCAGAGAGAGTGTTTGTATCTGTCAAATATTTAATTAACCAGTAAATGATTTCAAGTGATAAATTACCAGGTAAACTGATTAATGAAAAATTCCCATGATGTTAAGATTCTTATATGATGCTAGGGGTGGTCGGGTGGCGTAGTGGTAACGCACTCGCCTTTCACCTAGCCGACCGGGGTTCGATTCCCGGAACGGACGTGAAAAGGTAAGGGGTCACCTACCCGACCACGTGGGTTTTCCCCGGGTACTCCGGTTTCCTCCCACAATAAGACCCCTCACGCGCTTACATCTGAGCCAACAACTTGTATTGATGCAATGTGTTATTAATCTTAATATTTTATGATGATGTGCACCCATAGGGGAGGGGGACACTGTTAGATGTCACTACTGTGATGGAGGTTTGAGGGAGTGGGAACCTGAAGATAATCCATGGGTAGAACATGCTCGCTGGTTTCCATTCTGCAAGTTTGTATTGAAGATAAAAGGAATAGATTTCATCCAGGCATCTGCTACAGGAAATGTAAGTAAACTTGGATGATATGTAAGTGATCACTCATATTGTTTTAACTATTACTGTTATTTGTAATCATATGGCCATTCTGCCTTCCAATCTCTTTAATCTGGCATCTGTTTTACTGTTTTATGAATGAAATGTCATGTATCATTTTAAGCCCACGATCATCAGATGGTGGGATATTCAAGTCACCCTATGTCCGTGGTCTGTGGTTTGTCTGTCTGCCCATCCGTATTGCTATTTCTTGAGAAGATTGAGATGGATATCTCTCATATTTTATATGTAGGCTCCCTAGTTATTCCAGTTAAATTTTGGAACTGATCAGAAAAGCAAAATGGTCGAAAGGTTGCCATCTTGGATTTTGATTTTGAAGTATTGTTATCAATATTTCTTGAGAAGTGCTGGATGGATCTCTCTCAAATTTCACCTGTAGGTTCCCCTTGGTCCCTAGTTGCATTGTGCTGGTTTGAATTTGAGTCTGAATAGAAAAACAAAATGGCTGACAGTCAGCAATCTGTGATTTTGCCCAGTAACGGTTGCTATCGCTATTTCTTGAGAAGTTCTCAATTGATTTCTCGTCATTTCCAAGGTTGGTTCCCCATGATCCCTACTTGTGCCCATTTAATTTTGGAACTGATCAGAAAAAACAAAATGGCCTACATGCGTCCATCTTGAATTTTGACTGAAAGTTTCTTCTTTAGAAGTTCCAGATGGCTGGACCTCTCTCAAATTTCCTATCTTGGTTTTCCTTGGTTCCTAGTTGTGCTGATATTGATATTGGGACTGATAAGAAAAACAAAGTGGCCAACAGGTGGCCATCTTAGATTGGGGAGTCAAAGATTATTATCGCCACTTCTGCAAATGAATTTAAAATTCTTATCATTAAGAGCAAAAACAGAGAATAAAAGGGAATGATTAAACTTTCAAAGAACAAATAATGATCAAAGAATGGTGGAAGCAAGATCTCTCTTGGATCTCCGTAATCAAACGATATCTTCTGCTCTGGGATTTGATGATAACATACAGACTACGTTTTGGATGAAAAAAGGATGATATGAAGTTTTATCGATGATTATTCTTAATGATAATTTTGTTTTTTTTTTTTTTTGTTTTTTTTTTTTTTTTTTTTTTTTTTTTTTTTTTTGTTTGTTTTTTTTTTTTTGTTTTTACAATTTAAACCTATTCTACCTGGTTTGTGTATTTTCTCAGCCCACTGCAAACGGGTTACCCACTCCTGCAGCACAACAGGTCACTGAAGGTGAGTAACATATTGTTCTAGATATGACAATATTGTTATTTAGTGTCTTTCAAAAGTTCATAATTAACTGTAGAACAGATTCTAAAACCTATGACACATTTGACATTAGGAAAATAGAAAAAAATACAGGTTAAGTCCAAATTAGATCAAGTTTTGTATTAGAGAACTTCAACTTTGTACATGTTTTGAATTGATGACCTAACAAAATGGATATTAAATAGAAAAACAGACAAATAATCAATAGGTTGTTAAACTTACGCATCTTCTTTGATTATTATCCTCTTATAGTTGAGATTTAATCCCCAATATTTTGATTTTCAGCCCCACTTACAATGAGCTTTGTTGAAGCGTGTAGAATCCGGGAGCGAAGAAACCCTTTGTATTCTGCTGCAGCTCAGAGTATAAGAACTATGGGTTATTCCAAATCAGCAATCAAAATGATCATCGACTTGTACATTGCTCGCACCGGTATGACATGTCTGTAGCGAGTGTGTATGTGTGTGTTATCTTATGTGTGTAGATATCGAAAGAATTTGCGTTTTTAATTTGTTTTTGAATGCACTTGTTCCTACACAATTGTGTTAGTATCACACATTACTTTTGAAGAATGGACCAAATTTGGTTGGTTTTACCTGGTTAAAATAGTTGGATTCAAATATCAAATTGTTTGGGTCACCAAAGATGCAGGTTGTAGTTTTCACATAATAATATTGATTTTTATATGGTGAAGACCTGTAGTGAAAATGAGTGTGATGAGGACACATAACAATGGTAACAGTCAATGTAGAGTTTTCATTGTTGCATCTTGAAGCGTATGATCATCTCAACTGTATTAATTCATAATTCATATACAAATGTATTATTACTTGAAATTAATAGGGTTGATAATTGATTGTTAAAGAAGTGATACTCTCAAATCATTTTTGTTAAATTAAGTTATGTCAGAACGAATTTTTAGATAAAAAGTTTCCTTCAAATCCCACCCCTCCTCAAAAAAAACAAAAACAAAAATGAAAGGCTTTTGAAATTGCCATCCTTTCTTTGATATCTGTAAAAATACATACCAGTGTTCAATACTAAGGTTTATCCATTTACCTTTTATTCTGTTGCTATTGTGCATCGTCCGTTGTCGTGCACAGTCTGTAAACTTTTCCTTTAATGGCTTAATGGCTAGGTGGATTTCAACCCATTTTGTCTGAAACATCATTGGGGATTGGGGATCATTTCTAAAATTCAAAAGTTTGAATCGCTCCTATAGACCAGGGGCAGGGCCCCAAAAGGGGAAATTAAGACAATATTTTTTATGCTTGAATGGATTTCAACCAAATTTGGTCTGAAACATCATTTAGAGTGGAGATTCATTTCTTAAATTCAGAGAGTTGATTCGACACTGAGGGACATTGGGAAGGGACCCCAAAAGGGGAAGTTAGACAATATTTTGCTTCGAAATGCTACTCTTTCATAATGCTTGAATGAATTTCAACAAAATATAGTGTGATATTTCCAAGGAATGCTCAAAAACTTGAATTCATCAAACTTGCCAGACCACCATCAGCGAATTCTGTGGTTTGTCCATCCATTTTCAATTGTCAGATGACTGGCTATGGTCTTCTTGATTGAAATTGATGCCCCCTTTAATTCAATTTAAATAAAGTCGATTTCTAATCTCGCCCAGATACATAATTTCAAAAATGTTTCACATGTGTGGCTCTATCTTATCTATTAAGGTGTGTTTTTGAAGGTATGATTTGTTTGACGAAATTTTGATGCCTGTAATTGATTCAGTGTTGAATATCACAGTGAAGGTTGATTAAAAGTCAAGTCTTTTCTTGTTGATAGGGAGACGAGACTTTAATGCTACTCACTTGATGGACATCGTCATGGAGATGGAAGACGCAGGTCAGCAATTCCCAGAAAATGATGGGGAGGATGATGATGAAACAAGTAAGTGTTTCATGATAAAGAAAGCAAGGTACAAACTTCACATGATATACGCCCTGTTGCAGTATTGGTGCTACATCACGCAGTTGGTTAGATATTCAAGGGGGTTACTCTCGATATCGATGACTGGAAGATGGACTTAGTTTGCAGTGTATGGAAATATAGGTTGAAAAAAGTATGATAAAGTTATACGGATGTCATGATGATTACATTAGGAAATATACTACAATCTTGTGCGATATGTGTGACGTGTCTGATGTTCATTAGTATGTCTGGTGGTTCTATTGATGTTGACCTTCTTATTGTTAAGAAAAGTGACCTAACTTTTATTAACCAAGGTTTGCTGACTCTTTAGTTACCTTTATAAGCTTTCCTCCTTATAATCATGAAGAGGTCTTTCTTTGGTTAGTGAATGTGAATTTAATCTCTGATCACTTGTTGTTTTTTTCTTTGTTGTTTAATAACATCTATCAACATGTAAGGAAAAAAATATACCCAATCTTTTTAGGCAATCTGACCTGAATAGTCAGGATGACTGTGCTGACCAATATGTATTGTCACATCAGTAATACAAAGTTTAGCCAGTTAACCCTTTAATACCAGTGATTCATGGGATTATGGTAACAATGTGGTAAATGTCTGTAACAAGAAACAAACAAAATGGACATTAGAATTCGTGGAAAACCAAAATTAACCTTATCCCTATCGTATCTCGCAATGTAATCTATCACAAGTAAGGGCTTCCATACATTGAAAAATTGCGCAAACTGAAAAGTCTCTGTTTCGTCCATTGTCGTGCGATGTGCACTGTCTGCCTTGTGTAAACTTTCCATTCAAATGACTTCTTCTCAATAACCAGAAGACCCAGGGTGCTGATATGGATCTGCAACATGATTGGATGAAGGGCTACCAAATTTGTTTATATGAATGGTCTTGACTTTAATATAAAATATTAAAATCTTTGGCCTCTTTCATAAGTAGTTCTTTATAGTCAGATGATCATTAAGGCCTTTAAGCCTCTTGTTAAGTCACTTAAGACAAAGTCTCAAGTGAGCTATTAGGATGGCCTTTGGTCCATTGTCATGCATCGTCTTTCATAAGCAATTAAAATTTTTTATTTCTTCTAAATAACTCTTTATATTTATGTACAATATGCAAGTATGCTATATACAATAACCATCCTTTACCATTTTAAAGCAAAAGCCGAAGTGAGCGGGCGTTCCACCAGTGGAGACTCTCTCCTGTCTGGTCTCTGCTCTTCTCTTCTCTTTTTTCACAGACCAAGAGAGGTCTATTTATACTAAAATATCATGAAACTGTTGGTAAAGTAATATTACACAATAGATGATAGGCTAACAAACATTGATTATTACTTGAGCAGCTGACATAGACTACTTATACATGGGAATGGTTGTAGATTAGGATGTTTTCCACAAGATAAGTATACACTGACCTTCATGCAAACGGTCTAGATAGGGCTCGGGTAATTACTTATATTATCAAGGAATGAATTAATACATTGACATGTTTGGCAGATTAAGTGACAACAGTATGTTTCTGTCTGCTGGTCAATACATGATTGCCCACTGGTCTAGAGATGTGAGTTGACTTTAGCTGGTCTCATTCTGGCATTTAAATTATGATTAGAAATTTCATATATGTCAAACTGAACACAATTTAGAACAACTTGATAAACTTACATATTCACTTTTAATAGTACACTAGATCACAGGGGTGAAATGTGTTAAAATCTTCAAAAGACTTCTTCTTAATAAACAAAAGGCCAAGGATAATGACAATGGACCTGTAGCATGCAGAGATGAAGAGCAACAAAATTTGTTCAAAAGAAAGACTTTCAAGGTAAAAGGTGTAAAATTTCTTGAATTTTTTTTATTTTGGGTCTGATAAAAAAAATTGGAATGGCAGACAGATGGCCATCTTAGATTTTGACTTTGCAAGTTTGTTATCACTCTTTCTACTGTATAGATCTTTCTCAAATTTCATGTAAAGGTTCCTCTTGGTCCCTAGTTTTGCCTGTTTGAGTTTTGGACTTATCACAAAAATAAATGGCCGACAAGCAGCCATCTTGGATTTCGCATATTAAAGATTGTTATCCCTGTTTCTTTAGAAGTGCTGAATAAATATCTCTCAAATTCAATGTGTATGTTCCCTTTGGTGTTTCCTTGTGCCCATTTGATTTTGTAACTGATCAAAAGAAATAAAATGGCTTCCAGGTAGCCATTTTGGATTTGGCAGGTAAAGATTATCATCGCAATTTCTGCATAGGAATGTTCAAATGTCTTATCATTAAGAGCAAAAACAGAGAAGAGAAAAGAAAAGAAGGGAAAAGATCCAACTTTCAAAGAGCAAATAAAGAGCAAACAATAGTGGGCAACAAGATCTCTCTGGGATCTCTTGTTTTAAACATGATTTCTATGACATGTAATAAGAAACACTGTAACTCAGATGACCTTTGAAAGCCCTTGGGTTTCTTTTTCCTGTTCAGGTGAATCATGTTGACTCGCTGATGGTTCTTTTTTAGGCTAATTCCTTCATTTAAACTATGACAGGAATATTTTGTATTTTCATGAACCTGAAAAATATTTGTATCAAAACTTATAATTGATGTCTAAGATAGGTTTCAAAACAGAAATAATAAATAAATGTATGAATTTGATGATTTGATGATTGATTGTTTTATAACAAATAACTATGCATTACAGCTTATGTGACATGATGCCTTGCCATTTACAGGTAATTTCGCCAGATATTCCATTTATAAGAAAAGGAATTTCCAACATAACTCCTGCAAGGTGGCATGTTGCCGTTGACCCCTAGCATTATCAAGTGGGAGCAGCTAAATTTAAAAAAAGAAAATTTCATCAAGAAATCGAAAGAAAAAATTTGACAAATCACAGAGCTGCATTTTGCATACAAACAATGAAAAATTAATTATCATTTATTCTATAATATTTTTTGACAACGACTCCTTATGGTCAGAAGGTAGTTTTTCTGAAAGCCTTCCCTTATTTAAACTTCATGTGATTGTCACTGTTCGGAAAGATGATGCCGTAATCAGTCAAGGTGTATTAAGTTGATACGATTGTTCTCATGTCCTTGCAACGGCTCTGGTTTCCAACATTTTGTAAGTAAAATGTTGCTTGTGCCTTTTGTGGCTATTTTAGAGTTTTATTTATCTTTCAATAATTGTTGTTGGCCTATACAATACATTATGGTTTAATTGTGATCGTATTATTTTGGAATCAACAGGAAGACGTCACCTTTTATTTTACTGTTTGTATAGGTATGGGAGCTGCTGGAGGGAACATCGCAAACATAGTAGAAGAAGAAATGGAACTGTGTAAGTAAGCTGGTAGATTTGGTCGGATAAACATTTAACATACATGTATATAGCTGGTTTTTCAGTGTCTTAATTAACAGTGAATATACTGTATAACTGTTATTTTTAAGAGTCAAATGTTTCACAATTTTCTTTTAAAATGATCAAGCAATAAATAGTGTAACAAATTAAAATTTTGTGATCTGGATGTAAAAGAATGTACTTCTAAAAGGAAAAATGCCATACAGCAAAAGACATAAAAACATATGATTTCTTTCTTTCTTTTGTTAAAGCTCCAGCTGCAATGAAGAAAGAGAATGAGTACTTGAAGATGAAGTTCAAGTGTAAGGTTTGTGAACGGCAGGAGAGATGTATTGTATTTGTTCCTTGTGGCCACAGGGTCACGTGTCAGCAGTGTGGAGAACGGGCAGATGTCTGTATCCATTGTAAAAGTAGGATCGATCAGCGATATAAAACCTACCTTAGTTAGAGAATGTTTTAATACCATTTCAAAAATGTGAACAGTTATTATTTTTGATGTCATGGAATGAAATGATTCATCAACGGGATGAAAACTGAACAAAGGGTTTATGATTTGTCTTTTATTTTTGACCTATCACCCCAATGCTTTCTAGTCACTGCATTCAAATTTGAACAGTTTTATTCAAAGGCAAATTCTGTCTTGCGTATATGGTATCATAGTTTCTCGTTAGTTATCATATATTTCACTGGTGCATGTCTTTATTTTTTTTTTTAATCTTGCTTTGCCTTTGTAAGATATGTAAATATTCTGTAAAACTTGTGAAGTGTATGGTATTTAACAGGAAAGCATTCCCCTGTCATACCCACTATGAATATAATTGTTTATGGTATTCATTGTAACACCAGATTAAGGTGCAAATCTGGCAGAATTGCTCAGTATTTGTTAAAGAAATAATTAGTGTTTCATTGAGGTACAGTAAAACACGCCATTATAACTATATATTCATCGTTTGGACTAGATTTTGTCTGCATATTAAGTACTTAACCATCAAAATATAAATTCTTATTTTTCCTAGTGAAGATGGAAACCGGATGATTGTTTTTAAATGGAACATGCTAGTGATTTACGAGATTATCTTCTGTGCTGTAGTATAGGCAAGATGTTTTGGTTAAAAACACCACATTATTAAGCAATTTCCATGTGTGCTTTTACTATACAAATTATTGAATATTACATTTGATGTCGGTTCACAATTGCATATGCTTTCTTATTTTCCTTTTTAGGTCATCTGACCCGAAGGGTCCGATGACCTATAGTCATCATGCTTCGTCCGTCGTCGTGCGCCGTGCGCCGTGCGTTGTGAGCCGTGCGCCGTGCGCCGTCCGTAAACTTTTCATTCAAACGACTTCTTCTCAAATACTAGAAGGTCTAGGGGGCTAATACTTGGCACAGAGGATACTGGCATGGAGCTCTACCAAGTTTGTTCAAATGAATGACCTTGACCCACTTTAAAGGTCACAGGGGTCAAATATGTTAAAATCTTTAAACAACTTCTTCTCATTAACCAAAAGGCTCAGAGTGTAGTTATTAGGCCTGTGACATGCTGGGATGAAGGACTACCAAGTCTGTTCAAATGAATGACCTTGACCCACTTTAAAGGTCACAGGGGTCAAATATGTTAAAATCTTTAAACAACTTCTTCTCAATAACCAAAAGGCTCAGATTGCTGATATTGTGCCTGTGGCATGCTGGGATGAAGGGCTATCAAGTTTGTTTAAATGAATGACCTTGAACAACTTTCAAGGTCACAGGGGTCAAATATGTCAAAATCTTTAAATAACTTCTTCTCAAATACTAGAAGGCCTAGGGGGCTAATACTTGGCCCATAGCATGCTGGCATGGAGCCCTACAAAGTTTGTTCAAATGAATGACCTTGGCCCACTTTCAAGGTCACAGGGGTCAAATATGTTAAAATATACAAAGGACTTCATCTCAATAAGCAAAAGTCTATGAGTGCCGATATTGGGTCTGTAGCATGCAGGGAGGAAAGGCTACCAAGTTTATTCAAATGAATGACCTCAACCCACTTTCAAGGTCACAGGGGTCAAATATGTTAAAATATACAAACGACTTCTCAACAAGCAAAAGTCCATGAGTGCTGATATTGGGCCTGTAAGATGCTTGGAGGAGAGGCTACCAAGTTTGTTCAAATGAATGACCTCAACCCACTTTCTAGGTTTGGCTTGCTTTTTGTCAGATGACCGTTAAGGCCCATGGGCCTCTTGTTATAATTCTTGAGACAACATTACAAGGCCGTGATCCCCTTTTGTCTGATGTGGTGCTTTTAACATTTTCGACTGGAAAACTCCCAAACCAATGTCAATGAAATTTTACAAAAAACTTCTGTTGATGAAGGTGCACCTAAATTGTAAAATATATTCTCACCAACAATGTAGAATGTAGTTAAAGTTACCTAACTTTTTTAACCAAATCATTTCTGAGATAAATTACAAGAAACATAATAACACAGATGACCGTTAAGGCCCTTGGGTCTTTTATAATATAAAAGAGGATAGAAGGCTTGTAGTGTGTAGCTAAGGGAAGTTACCAGTATTACAATTATATGCATATTTATTTACAAGTAGAACTTATGTAGTCCTACATTGCCCAATGTGTTAAAATGTATTGCACTGTATTTACAACTCTAAGTATGCCAATGCTGTATTTAATATGTCATTTAATCTACTGTTTGGTTTTACTATGTTATATTCTCTCAGGTAAAAGAAGCAACATGGACAGATATTGAATTATTAACATCGTCAATTTTGTCAGACTTTATGAGATAAACTTATGTGGCTAGGTGGCCACCAACACACGATAGTACTACAGAAATGACCAAACCTGTTGTTAAATGTCTATGGTACTGCATGAATGAATCAGTCATACACTGTTGTTCATCCCAGGGACAAAGATAAGGAAGTTTATATGGTACCAAAATAACAGATAAACAACAAAGATTTATCCTGAGCAAATAAATCACCATAGGATGCTTTTAGATTTTCATTGTTTCAAACATTCTCCTCATGATGAACATTTTAATAATTGTTTGTGCAGGTTTGAATTCGAGATGATGATTGTTTGATTTGTCTTGTCTGATGTTTATCAGTGGTACAAGTCTTAGAGAAGCTGTTTTTTTCTCTTGAGATAGTCAATGCCTTTTGATATCTGTTGTTGAAATTCAATTTTCAATGCCTTTTAACGGTTAAATGTACATAAATGGTTGAACAATTTCTGTAGCAAGATTGATGATTTTCTTAAAGTTTGTGATAGACTTTCCATACAGCAATTGGTATCATTGATTTTTTTTACTTCTTTTTAAGGTCATCAGAATCAAATATAGTGAAATGTCAGTACTGATTTAACTAGACGAATCTATATTTCTTTTGTCACATATTGGAATAAATTTGTTTTAGAGAAATGACCCAAGCAACTTAGGTGGTTTCGTATTAACCTTAACAAGGTTTCTAGAGCTAAATATCTAAAGAGAATAATATTAATAATTTAAGCCTATTTTTCATACTTTGGAATATTTCAATATTATTTTAGTACATTTATGCTTTCATCAAGTGTAAAGGCCTTTTTAAGTTTAGTTGATATTGTCATCCTGTAACAACATAATCATCATTCATAGTCATAGAATAAATGATACAAGCGACTTTCCAGGATGTTGACCTCTAGTTTACACGCAGATATCTTACTGTCTTCCACTTGTTGTAAGCGTAATAGTGTATGGCCGATTCTCTTTCATACTTTATCATGGACGTATAACAGGTTGGTCATTTGACCCCCTCAGTATCCTGAGCCTCGTCCATACTGCCAATTACATGGGTTGCTGATGTTATAATGTACTGCCTTTGGTATATGTTTCCTGACACTGTATAGTGCCTTATGGTTGATTTAAGATGATAGTTTGTATGTTGGTATGAAAGATTTGTATTATTGAATATATATACATACGTTATTTACTAACAAACAGAAATGAAGCAAACAACATTGTATATGACATCAAGGTAAATTGATCTTTCTCAAATTTCATGTATAGGTTCCTCTTGGTCCCTATATACAATGTATACAATTAATAGCATTCAAATTCTGACTGTAATATTATATAGAGCAAAGTCATTACACTTTACCAAACAAACCATTAATCAGGTAGCAGTACACAGTTTCTCGGTGTGGCCATGGGTGATTTTTTTGCTCATTAGATTACCCCATTATAAAGGTTTTAATTAAAAATGAAAAAAAAAATCCTTGCTAAAATTGGTCCTGTCATGTTAAAGTGGACAATGTGGGGTTTCATTTTTTTCAGGATAATATTTTAGCTTTGTGTTGGAGATTACTATTTGGGCAGTCTCGAATCTGTGTCTACGCACCAAAAACTAGCTTTACAGGAAGTGAAATTTTCATAGTGTTCACATGTGGTCATGTTATGAAGAATTTCTTAGTTGGAATTTGCTGAAATGTAAGTACTCTGTTACCATGACAGTGTTGTTGATTGTAAGATAGGTGTTTAGAATTAAATTTCTCCTAGAAAGTTGTAGTGTTGGGTTGGAATTAGCAGTATTTTTGCATTTTTAGCATTTTTTCAGTAGGTAACCATGACAATCAAATGTCAGAAATCAGAGGAAATTTTTTTTTTACACAAATTTCATCTCTCTACTGTTAATGTAATTGTTATATAGTTTATAAATATATATACATGTAATGATGTATTTTTCATAACCAATCTGCTATACCTGTATATCTCAAACATGACAAATAATTTCAGGAAAAATGCAAATTAACTGTTTACTGCTACCTTATAGCACATTAAAAAAAAATTATTTATTTAAAATGTGCTTTACTATGTTTGATTAAGTTTCATCCTTTCCATAATTGCTATAAATACATAAAAAAACACACTGAAACTTGTTCATAATGATTTTATTTTAATTTCATTAGGGGTGCATAAAGGGAGGTAATTTGGGTGCTCTTGTGGGTGAGAATTTCAGCTGTTTTCAAAAGGCTTGGTGTCAGTTTGAAAACTGTTCTACAGTAGGTAACAGGTATAAAATAAGTCAGTAACAACCTTAGAATGTATTTAGACTGGATTATAGGGCAATTCCAATAGTTTAAGGTGTGGTATCCATGGTAACTAAGAAGGAAAGTATGAGTTTTTGAATTTTGGATAAATTCTCTGTTTTGATGATTTTTACTCAATAATGTGTGTGTATTTCTCATAGATTGGGCATACAATCATGTTAATATTGTCATCAAATGACATTTCTATAGTTACTGCTGTAAAAAATACTATTTTTCGAACAATATTGCAATGTCATAGGGTTTCTAATATTACACTTGAAGAAGGGTGGGGGGCAGTAATCATAGGTGTTTGTGATGTCATACACATGACATTTAAGAATATCTAATGTCATATCACTGTTAATTACTTTCGAGAAATGTGTTAGATGCTAATTTGAAGTTTTTGTTGGATTTCTAGCCTTCACTATGACATCACAGTGCATTGGTGAAGCCATCATTAACAATTGATGACGTCATAGTACTGATGACATCAGCTGTTACCATGACGTCATAACATCAGACTTTATATATGTAGTATCAATCTGCTTTTCAGTTATGTTATCTAAATTCACAGAAGCACAAACTACTTGATTCAGTTTCAATTGCAACTTTATTCAAGTAAATTTAA